CTTTAGATAGATGCCCTATTGATAGAGCTAGATATGCCCAGCAGCAATTCAGCTAAACAAACACTTGCCGATCTACAGCACGAATTGCCAGTGTCTAACCTGACTCTAGTAATTAGTACAAGATGCTTACTTACAAATTCTATAAATATGTTTTTGATTTTGTCTGTGAACTATTACCAAGTCAGTAGGTTGTCATACTATCCGTACAGATGAGTCTCAGGAAAGTATGTGCAAATACATAACGCAGTGGTTGTTCTTGAATACAACCAGTTCTTGTAAATTTGCACAGTGTGGGCTGCTGTCGGTACCCTTCCAGCCGGCATCCCTCACTCAGCTAATCATAGGAGCCAGTTGGAAAATCTTCAAACAAATGGTGCTGGCAGGCAATACGTGTTGATGGAGGAATCTGTTCTTTTCTACTATTCTTTCAGCCCGCAGGTTGAACAAAAAAAACAGAATAGTGTATGGCCAGCTTAAGGCACTCACATGCTAGAATAAACCAAGCATGGGATTGGATTTACTAAAGGTAAAGAGGCTGTTCACTTTGCAAGGAGATTTGCACTTTTCAGGGAAAGCTTCCCCATTAGTTTAGTGAATGAGGTGAAGCTCTGCTGACTTCGATGAGCCAATCATATGCAATCACAAATACTGTGTTCATTTGTTTTCCTTGCACATAATGGAGTATTCTTTGCAAAGTGAAATTTCACCACATTCACCGAGCTAAGGGGAAACTTCCCCTGCAAAGTGAAAATTCCCTTGAAACGTGAACAGCCTGTTTCACTTTAGTAAATCAACCCCACGGAATACACTGGATTAGCTTTAAAGTAGCTGATTTTTAAACAGGGTGTCAGTGGTGGGAAAGAGTTTTGCTAAACTAGTCAATCTGTGGTTATTAGATATTCATAAAGGATCAATGATTTGCTCTGCTCTTGAATGAACTCCTGAAATTCTCCAACTCAGCTCACTTTCCAGTTCAGCTATGTTGTCCTAGATTGTTCACTTCTCCTGCCTTTTCCAAACTCTTCACCCTTTTTGTGAATAACCCCCACAGTGTGTCCCCCATTCACCTCACACTCCAAAGGAATGCAGACCAACCATCTTTCACCACTGACCACTGGTCACCTGTGTGAGAGGCACATCACACATATCACGTTTATAGGTACAGAAGGAGCGTTGGATTACGGGCTGGGAATCCCGGCCCTCTGTGATAAAATAGATATTTTTTTCCCTATTGGGTAGCAGGTAGGTCACACCTGCCAAGCAGAACTCGAGCAAAGGTCTTGCAGTCTGTTAGGTAAACCAAGGGAGTAGAAGAAGCAGCATGCACAGTAAAACAGGTGGCCACTCTATGTTAACATACTTGTTGACTTTACTTCAGCAAACAAAAGGCAAATCAACCAGCCTCTGCTAGCATCCAATTTTGTATATGTGTAAATAGGACCGGTAATCCTTTGACACCCTTTGGAACTCCCTGCCAAAGTAATTATGATTAAATCATAGGCTGAATGCATTTCTTACCAGTTATTACAACTCCACCTAGAATTAGTGAAACTAATGTTCAGGGGAATTTTCCCAGGTGCCTTACTGATTTTTCGCCTTCTTCTGAATTAACTCTAACACTTTTGGAACTACTATAGAGTTAATATACTATGTTTATGTCCCTTTTTACCAATATTTTATTGAAGTACTACAGTTTGTGACAACAGCAAAAACAGTATATGAGCTGACAGTTGAAGGAAAACAGAGTATAGTAACCCAAAGAAGGTAATCTTTATCAGTTTTTACTCCATTAGGGTTTGTGAAGATGGTTGTTGCTGTCAAATGCTGGCTTTTGCATTGTAACACAACGCTACTCAAGGGCTTGCGATGAATGCATAAAGATGCATTTGACCCTTTTTGCCTGAAATGCAAACACCTCCCAAATAGGACCTCCTGATTCCAGGGAAATGGGAACAGGTCAATGAAGCCTCAAAGTGTCATCCACACTGTACCACTGAGGTAAATGGAAGCCTGCATTGAATGAAGAAAACATAACAGTGTATGCCCAGCTTAGGACTATTGAAAGGTGCATTATGACTGGTTGGTGCACAATAGCTTTAACACTAGGACACAATAATGGATGTCTTTTTTTTCAGTTATAGATTGAATAGGTCTGAGTGTTGCTGATCACTTGATATTATTACAGTCCAAAAGGAGAGTTCATACCACACCAATTAAGAGCCCTGATGAAGAGGGAGTGTCCTTACTCTCAACCTGCATTGGATGCTTTCCTTTGCAATGGAATAATTAAAGACTCTTCAGAGCTTTTTCACCTGTTTGGTCTAGCACCTTTTAAATATATGTCTACATTCTAAGCTTCTCCTGGGTACCCTACTAAGGATGAACTATTGTGCTCCTTAAATCACCTTAACACAACCAGTGAGCATGCTTGGAATATTTGGTCTTTTGAATGAGCATTTAAATCCCTGCACCTCCTAAATATTAAGATCTGAAGGGTTTTTTGGGTTATGGCATCTTCACTTCTACTTATTGAAACAAATAACCTACAAAATGTTCCATTTTTGAAACTGGAATAGAATTAACTTTCTGAAACTATTCTTACTGCTAAACATAATAGCAAAAACTTTATAACTTATAATGATCTATTATCAGTTAAATGGCAAAAGAGATATATATCAACCCAAAGAAGATGAACGTTCATCAAGTTCAGTGCAGCAAAACTATTGGAAGTTTATTTGTCTGCTTGCTGATCAAGAGTTGTAACATCTGGTCTATTTACATTAAAAATACAGAAATGAAATGATTTTTCACAGCACTGTGCAAGGTAGGAACTGTAATGATAACATTTAACCCTCGAAAATACATGAAACAGTAGGGTAGGAGTGGGAACACAAAGGTCAGAGAGACTTGTAGCAGTAGCTGGTGTAGACAAGGGAGACATTGTTGAATTGATATTTCTATCTGAATGATTGTGTTTAAAGTTGTATCAAAAATATAGCTAAATATGTTTTGGTTTTTTTAAACCCCTATAAGTTGTTTTTTTTTGCAATGTGTGTGCTATTGGGGAAAATTCCCTTTACTTTATGTGCTGTTGACATAAAAGGAGGTGAGAGAAAGCCTCTGCAATGTGAGAAAATTCTCTCCCAGTTGTCACAAGAACAAATGTCCCCACTGGATGATTTCCTCTTTAGTCCTGTTCTGATGACAATTCTACATTTTAGATTTTCCCTCATTTTCAGTCTCAATGACAGTAGTCACCAGCAAAAATAGAATATAAATTTACCCAACAGGGACACATACAGCAATAAAAATCAGACAGGGGTTCCAACTCTTTACTACTGTATTCAAAGCTAAAAAAAAAGCTTTAGATACCAGTTAAAGCCTTTGAAGCATGGAGAAGTTCAGAATAACTAAGATGCAGTGACAAGGGCAAGATGTTCAAGAATAGAGTGACAGATTGGGATGGCTATATACCTAAAAAAATGGAATGCGATGCCAGGTTGCTTAAAGTGGACCTTTACCCCCTTTCACTAAAAATCAGATCAGCATGCAAACATATATTAAACATAAATATTTTTTACTTACAATTAGAGGTGCACCGAAATTAAAATGTCAAAACCGAAACGAAACCGAAATTAAAAAAATGTCAGGCCGATTAAAAAATGTTTTTTTATTTTAACTTTTTCAAATGTTTTAAATATTTTATTTGTATTTATTTTTTATAAACTTTTTATTTTGCATATTTATTTTTTATTAAATATTTTTATTTTTTACTTTACTTTTAGGGGCTCCAGGGAAATATTAGGGGTCTATTTCCCTTTTAAAATAGAAAAAGAGATTGAGGAGACAGAGTCCTCAATCTCTTATTCTACAGCCCCTGTTATCAATGAACAGGAATGAACAGGATGAACAGGAATCCTCTATACTGAGTGTTCCTGTTCATTCATAACATGTGGAGATAGTGTGTTGTAGATCACTTCCCATTCATTAAAAAATTAGGATATAGTAATCATACTATGTCCTCAATTATTTACAAACACTCAGCTATCACTGATCACTGAGTGTTTGCACTCGCTCTCCTTCCTGACACGCTGTCACAGGAGGCTGAGCGAGCGGAGCTCAGCCTGCTGTGATAGCTGACAGCTGTCTCCGCCCACAGCCCGCTCTGCCGATCTGTGACAGGAGGCTGAGCGGTGCGGGGAGACGAGACGCTGGTCACAGTGCTCTCCTGCAGAGCTCGGCCGCCTGTGACAGGTAGGGCCAAGCGGGGAGGAGAGAAAGAATGGATGTGCCGATGTATCGGCTAAAAAATTGCACTTTCGGTATTATGCCAAAAGTGCCATTTTCGGCCGATATTTTTCAGCAGCTGATATATCGGTACATCCCTACTTACAATTACAGTATTTCTATTTCCTCCCCTGAGATGATGTTCATGGTCACATGTTCCAGGAAGTAAAGGGAGATATATTAATTTGCCGTTAGTAAAAATGCATAAGGAATGGGGAGGAAAAGAAAAAAAAGTATGCAAAGAATAAAAAGCCGGCAATTAACTAGAAGTATCTGTTTGTAGATTGTCATTACTAAACATTTCTAAAGGTGTATTTGTTGTTAATTTAAAGATATGGGTAAAGCTCCTCTTTAACAATATGACTTATAAGACAGTTTACATTTATGTATGTAAGTTTTTAGTTTTAGAGGGTTTTTTTTTAAAGAGGATTTAATGCACCTATTCTACTGTCAAAATAATTTTAAAGATATTTCTCTATTTATGTTACATAAAAAAATATACACTGGACATATCTGTGCATGTCTGATAGTGAAATCCTTCTTAAAGCAATTTCCTTTCTTGTCTGCTAGATGGTGCTGTTCCCTATAGCTGCATAAAGATGACGCACTCTTACAATGGCAGCAGATAAGTAGAAGCTTTTACATTAATGACACATTTTCCTTAGGTCAATGTCACATCAAGTCACAATCCATAGGTAGATTTTTCTACTTACCGGTTTGACATTAAATGCAAGCAGAACATATTTCATATCTGGAGATACTTCGTATTTGCTGACCCTGAACGTATCCTAGAAAAAACAAAAAGAGTTTGTAAGAACTTGTTCACATTATCTATTTAGTTTGTATATCTGTCAGTGTAGTACACAGAGGAAGGAATCACCCATACACATAGCCCCCAACTGTCTATAATTTGGGAGGACTGTCCCTCTTTTGTTAGCAAATCCCTCTTCCTCCTCAGTTGTCCCTCTTTTTAGTCTGATGTACAGACCTGTATAAACACGTACCATTTAAATATATAAATATGTGAATTATGAAAAAAGCTCTTACGGATTTGTCTTTTTTTTACATATTAATTCTACATGGTCTGTGTAACTGAGGACATGCCAGGTGTTTATCCTTTGCCTGTGGTGGACTGTGGTCCACCACAGTTTATCCTTTGCCTGCACCTTATGTGCCAAAAGGTGTCCCTCTTTCTAATAGCAAAATGTTGGGTGGTCATAGGTGAAAAGCCTTGTTAGTCACCACAGTCCACCATCACCAACACTCCACCATCACCACAGTCCACCTTCACCACTGTACACCAACACCATCACTCCAGTTTATCACCACCACTGTCTATCATCACCACAGTCCACCAATACCACAGCCGACCAATACCACAGTCAATCAACACCACGGTCCACTTCACCACAGTCCACCATCACCACTGTCCACCAACACTCCAGTCCATCACCACCACTGTCCACCATTAATACTGTCCACCATCACCACGGTCCATCATCACCACAGTCCATCATCACCACAGTCCACCAATACAACAGTCAATCAACACCACAGTTCATCATCACCATAGTCCATTTCACCACTGTAAACCATCACCACTGTCCACCATCAACACTGACCATTTGTAACCCTACAGGAATTGATCTATAATAATCTTTAATTGTTCTATTCAAAAGTGATGTCAAATGTTTGGCTGATGTCTATGATGTCTGTGTCTTGTAATATTGTACATATTATCCTTGCAATTATGCTAACTCAAGAAGCTTTAATCAGTTAATCTTCAATCTGACTTTAACATAATCTAATTCAGCAAGCTTTTCATAGTGCTTCTGCATGATACCACAATCTTTAGGCCTTGTTTACACTTGTAGCTGACTTTTACTGCCCTCTGAATAGCGATCTATAGAGGATCACTTTTTAAAAGGCTGTTGAAAACTGGTTTGCAGGCATTCAGGAAGTGATACTGCTGCTTGCTTAATGCCTGTTTTTTGTTTTAGATCCCAAGTGGGATTTTGCAATGCAATACAGTGGCGCAGCCACATGCCAAGCTGTTGGCATGCAGTTGCCGCACAGTTCCATTGACTGTAATGGTCACATTTGCCAAGCAGTATAGCCTGCTTGGCTAATGCAACCACGGAGATGAAATGTTTCTAATGGGGACACATACAACAAAACATCCTAACCGAGGTTTGCCACTCTATTAAAAAGTACTTTTGATGCTACCTGTGCCCCCACTGGAAAGATTCTACTTACTTTCTTTTCTAGTGTTCACACAGGAAGTTAGGGGATGCTTTTTCTGGAATTCCACTTTGAATAATATCAATATAGTCCCATTAAAAAACAAACTGACCACGCTGATATTTTACAGCTAACTATGACCAGCAACAAATATTCACATAATCTATTGTCCGCTTCTTTAGATTTCCTGCTGATTTCAAACCTGTAGGTGTTTCCAAACCAAAGACGCAATCTTAATACCATGTAATTACATTGAGTACATAATTCAGGCTTCATTTAATTGAGGCTCATTAAAAGTGATCTACATAATAATGCACATAACGTGCCCCAGTGGCAGTTTTTATGTAGGTTAAACAGGACAAAGCTCTGCGCTCAAATCACCCTTCCATAAACATGCAGGAAGCAAGCTCATCAGCCGGGAACCATTCCTCCATCCCCCAGCACAACACGGGGCCCATTAAATGCATAGAGGAGGGAAAGGACGTACACAGGCGTGACAAGAACGTCAACCACCATAACAGTGACTCAGTAATAAGATATACCGAATACCGCCTCTTTTCTCTGCTCTGTCTGGCACCATATTTTGATATGTAATTATTAGCAAGAGCTGCTCCATAAGACAGCCTTCCCCAACCTTCACCCTAAATAGCTCTTAGCCGGTGTGATTAGGAATATTGATGCAAGCATATTGCTGTGCTGATTGCCAGCTCAGTCACTTCTGCTGGTCCTCCGAACCACAAGCAGCATATCATTAAAGCGGAAGGCAATGAAAAACTTATCATTGCAGATTTATTCAAGCAAACAATGACCTTGGACCCTACTTTTTGTAAAGTAGATGTAATAATATCTCTAGAAGTCTCGTGTCACATTCTCTAACTATCTTCTACAGCATGTTTTCAGTCTCCAACCCAATTGTACTGACAGTCATTTTGGTGTCACCCACTCTGAAAAGTCGGGCACTTGGTCAGGGACCAAGAGCCCAACAGTTGCAGGAGAGAGGAGGGGACCCGATGGCATACCTTATCCTGCCAGGTGAACATCCCCTCCACTCCATCACCAAGATGGCCTCTGGCAGGTAAGCATGCATGACATCATTACACATGTGCATGAGCATGATGAAGATGCGTGTGCGTGATGATGTTGTGCGTGTGCATTACATTCACTTAATGTTATGTATACTCTCTTGAACTCTCTTTAGTGAGGCAACACACTTCATCTGCAAGCAGTAACAACTATAAACTGGCCTGGTTGTGAATGGCTAATGCACATGCTGTCATTTCTAAGACCACAAAGATGAAGCACTTCTTGTAATGCAGAGAAAAAAGTATGAAAGAGCATAACCAATCACATTTTAGTTCTAACTTTCTTTGTGAAGGCTAGAAACTTAGGGAAATACTAGGCACATTTATTTTCTTCCAGTCTCTATACACATGTACTGGATATTATAACATTACAAGAAGTGCGTTAACTGTCAATACAAAGTATTTGAACAAATCTAAGCTAAACCTTCAGAAAAGTAGCTTTTTCTGAATCATTCTATCCCTGATTTAACCCTGGAATAGAACTGTTTAGCAGGAGAGGGGTACGAAGGAAGACTCACAGTTCTGACTAATTTACTTCTGGACAAATTTCATCTTGAGCTATTGAACTCTCTAAACAATGGACTTTTATCAACAGATACAATTATAAAAATGAGCCAAGAGCTCTACCTGCTGGCAGCTTATGAAAATACAATGAATATTACAATTAATATGCAATCTTTGTGATAATCTGATACAATTCTGATTAATGTGTGTATATATATATATATATAGATATATATGTAGATATATAGATATATATACATATCTATATTTTTTTGAAATTGAATATATTCAAAACTACTATACATTCCCTTGAAAGGCTTTTAATCAATTTCAGTAAGAATGTTAAGAATGTTACAGGAGCTATTTGAACGCTATCAATGGAACGGGTTCAATCAACTTCTTATATGGCTTTGAACAACAGGGTGCTTTTTGTTAGGTAGAACCATAATGAGCAAAAAACAGATTTATGAAAATAATAAACCTTGTGAGACAGTTGCAGTGGGAAATTCCCGAACATCTTCAATTTGTAACTTCTTGTTAATACCAAGATAAGAAATAAACCTTTCAGAGAATCAATTGTGTACATGACCCGAGCTGCATTTTTAACACATTAGCATAGCAGAACATATTTATTAAATAATTCTTAAAGGGGCACTGTAATTTGTAAAATGTTTGATCAAACACAGCTTTAGAAAATATATTTATAATATTTACCGAGAGCATGGGCAGGTGGCACAGCAAACAGAGGGGAGATGCAGGGACACAACACTTTTGGCTGTGTTAGATGTATACATATTCCCAATGCCTACTGTGGACTGTGCACCTTTTGTTTTGCTACTCCTAGAATGTATTTAGCAAATTTAAACTGAAAGTTCAATTGGGCCTTAAACATATTATGACACTTTCTCTTTAATATAAATTCTGTTTCAACACAGTATGCAAAATTATTGTTAACGTACAAGGTGGTAGAAGAAACTGTCCTCAAACCTTTATGGGAAGAAGGGAAGTATCATTTATTTAAAATTAGGAGTCATTTTAAGCAGTACAATTAATTAACTTTACTTGGAAAACCTTCCATTGAGGGCACATAAATGTTCTTTTGCACCCCTTTTAGGGGCACCAGTTGTATAAAAAAGCTAAGAAACCTATCACTGCAGGCTTGTCTTTTTTTTGGTCCTCTTGAGGTGCCTAACAGATGTTTAAAAAAACTGATTCACTTTGAATAAAAACTACATTAGTTACTAAGTTGAAATAACCTAGAAACACCACACCTTGCTGCCTAATTACCCCAGAAAGACAGCCATACTTACCTTATTCCTCATTCTCCCCAGCAGCTGGCGTTCTCCTCTGCTCCCGATAGGTGGACAGGTCCTTGATATCTTCATGTACAATACAGGAGCCATGAAAAGGAGTGGCTTTATGGAAATGATCTCAGAATGGGGAGGAACCCTTTGGTAAATGTTTTCCTTGCCCCCTAGACACAATGAGAATAACGCCTTACTGAGTTCAGGATTTATATAATGTATTTGTGGAGTACAACCTCACCATAGGATTGCATGGAAAGTGTACAGCTCCCTTTTTATACAAACCAATAATTTTCCTAGCCTACTCCACTGCTGGTTCTTACTTTCACCTGTTCCACTGCCATCCGATGTTCCCCCATATGGTTTCCTCAGGTCTGTGTTGGAGCTTACAGAAAGCTAAAGTCCCTTCACCTCACCACCTACCCACAGGAGAGTTTTCAAGCCTGGTGAGTAGCTCCAAGTACCAAGTACTGCTTTGTGATGAGGATGAGGAGAGTCGCAGGTTCCACCATACCCAGAAGTAACATTGAGCGACTGAAGCATGTGTAAGATATTTACGGATAACAAAGTGGTCTGCTATACAACAAATCTTTTTTTTTTACTTTTCCATTGTTCTCTACTTGATACAATCAGCTTTCTGTCAACCTTGGATCTGCC